GAAATAGGCTGTCTAGTAGCCGTTATATGGATAGATCTTCCGCGTTTCATTAAGGATAAAATTCTTCCTACTATTCGGGACCAAACAATTTTTCTCTCTTCCTTTACTCTAAGCAAAATCAGACGGAAAAAGGGAGTTCTGTAAATAATAACTGTTCCCTTTCTGATCCACGTACCCGATAAGTTTGCGAGCTATTTGCATATTAACATCCCGCCTATACTGCATGGAAATTTATGCGTAACGCTGCTTCAGACATGTTACTTTAATATGGTCATGTTTTTAAAAAAAAATTAAAACTGGCTTTTATACAAAGTTTACAATTTATGCATCTATATAATACCCTTTAATCCGGTTTTGGAACGGATAAACATATTCATAGTGTACTAGGATCCATATGTTTCTGAAAAAAATATATGCAATTTTCACAAGGGATAAGATTTACACTAAGAGGAGGCGGTCCAGACAACCTCCTTGAAGTCTCAAGTCTCCGGAACAAGCTGTGTAGAGTGACAAAGAAAGATTTTTTACTACGTGTAAACGCTCAAGGAGGACATTGCCACACTCTTTGTCTGTTTGTTAATGAAGCTGTTAAAATTAATGAAGATAATACCGTGCTTACTCTATAATTATAGAGTAACCACGGTATTATTTTAGAGCTCCGATTAATCACCCCAGTTTCTACATTAACTGGATGAATTCGACGTTTACTAATGTGAAGATAAAGTCTTCAAAATTAAAATGTTCTGAAAATATGGCTGTAATACAAGTTTAGAAGCTTGCTAGCTTGGAATTGGTTATGTGTGCATGCAACATTTTGAGTTAAGTTATTAAGCAATATTTTAACTGTCTCATTTCACTGTACTTTATTCAAACTTCCCTACTTACAATTTTCGTGGAGGATGGCTGAAATGCGTCTGTAAATATAGTTGTTCAAACAGAAAAAGGTGACACTTTAAAATTTTTCTTCAATTTAAAAACTTTTTCGAAAGTTATCATCAACTCTACTTTTAAGGGTCCATTTCGCGAGATGTTACATTAAATAAGTTTGTACCGGGAAACGTTAACTTTTGATTCGAGAGTACTAAAGCGAACGTTAAAGGACAGAAGATCTTGAAGAGAATAAAATGTAAAATTGGAGCACTTCTATCGTTGAACATACACATCTAGCGGAAAGGTCCGTTAAAATTGATCGCGTAATAATTTATCTCGTATTATCATCCCGTATCCCACTTCTTCCTTTTATTCGTGTATCTTCTTCCCTCTCTTATCCTCATCTGTTTCAAAATTAGGACAACGATGAAAAGTTGAGTATCGGCCATACTATGTAATGCATTATTTCAACGTCCTTGTTACCTATATTAGTAGTGAACCTGCTAAAAGCTACCTAATAGTAGCAACACACAAAATAGAACACTTTGCAGCCTACTATGCTCGCATGCAACATGTTCAGTGTAGAAACCTTAGTTGCAAAATTAAATTCAATTGAATTCATTTATTTAAGTGCTTGACAGCAGCCAAAAAGGCCAATAACAGCCAAGCACTAAACCAGAGTACAGGATAAAATATAATAAGTAATTAAATTCATTTCAATAATAATAAAAATAAACATTAAAAATACAAAAACAGACAAATGAAACTAAATATGTAAATGCACCATATTAATAATAATAATTCAATTCATTTATTGAATAATAATAATAATAGTTCAATGCCTTTGTTGCTTTGTTGAGTGTTTGCCAACAGCATAGGGCCTATGACAGGCAAACACTATTACAGAGATACAAATTTAATAAAAAGAAAATACAAGTGATGTTAATGTATTATTTTGCCTGTTTGCACACAGTGAACTATCTGTGTTCCTCCGAAACAATGTTGAAATAATGCACAAAGCAGCAACCCAGAAGACCATTACATTTGTATTAATAATATATATATAATTAAAAGTAATGTTTAAATGTTAATTGCAGGTAATAGATAAAATGTAAGTATTTTATGAACTTTAATAATTTAGTGGAATATTTGTTCGTCTGTTGTGAACCCAAAAGTTCAATAACTACAGAAATGGAAGTCCGCCGCTAAACATCGTATTCCTGTAGATGATCACAAGTTTCATAGAAGGCGTCCGTCTTTATCTTGGTCTTCCAGTTTTCCTCGCTTTTCTGACAAATCTTTTACGCGTTTGTTTCTGAGAGCGACTGCATCCATCGCATTTGATGCTTCTTAATTTAAGTTCCCTTCTTGCACTGCTGGTGAAAAGGGTGAATTATGCAGCTTTCATTCGAGAATATACAAATATGTTAATTTATTTTTTTCGTTTGTACCTTATTTTTTGTCTTAAGGAAGACACAGTAGGTTACAGCATATAAAAATTATATAAGAAAGTCTACAGGAAGTGTGAGGAAAGATAGGATTTCCTCTTCGAGTCGGATGTTTAGGGAGTCTTCCTCTTTTCTTTTCCTTTTTTCCTTGAAACAAGAGAAGGACGGGCGAGACGGTGCTCTTACTGCTAGGATAGTTACGAATTTCCCCCGGCATCATCGGCAAACCCGCTACGGTTCATTTGATCCGTCCCAAGACTGAGGTTCTGTAATAGCAGCCAGTCGCAGAAATCTCCAGGCTCTGAAGAAGGAATACTACGTATGTCTGCCGTGGAATCTTGACAGCAGCCTACAAGCCTTATTGCACTTTCCTGTGCTCTGTTTCCAGTAATGTTTAGGTATTCATGTTGAATAAATTGGCCCATTTTGATTAACCCTCAAATGTATCATCTGCTTTAACTAATATCTTAATCCTTTAAAGCCCAGTGGTAACTATATATCACCTACTTTAAGAATTAGTAATTGTGCATGTTATATTTATGGGTTTTGTATGATTTGTCAGAGGAAACAACGATTATTCCTTTAACAAAGTTCATAAATTAATTTTTATAATGAATAGGTGGTGTTTTATTCCTGGTACGAATTGAATTCTTAAATATTATTTATATACGCTGCGGTTTCAAAGGCGGAAAGGACGAACATGTGTTCAGAAGAAGTATTAATATTATTATTGGAATGACAAACAACTTCTTTCGTTAATAAATAACACTTTAAAAGTAAACCATAAAGAAAACAAGACAAAAATAAAAAATAACACAATTAAATTTCAGTATTTGAAAATAATTTATTTTGTAGAACGTTACCCACATAACAGTTGCATCCGAATTTTTATACTACTATTATACATATACGTTGTACGTTGAATAGGTTTCCTTGAACAATTCAGTATAAGTTAAACAGTAAAATATAAAATATTATGTATTAAAAATTTTCCATTTTTGAGTAAAAAAAGAAACCTGTAATGCCAACGATTTTCTGTGGCGACAAGATGTATATAAAAGCTTTACAGGAGACTTGGAAGTAATTTTCTTTATCTTCTGAATGTATCTTCAAAACCCGCTCTCTGCTTTGCAACTAACGATAATATTACTTTAGACTTATAAGATACTTCATCATAATATACCATGAAAGTGTTTAGATAAAGCAAAAACTTTTTTCTCTAGGAGAATCATAACTTTATCTTTAATAACTTCTGAAGATCAGTATTAACCTCTGTATATCGTAACCTCACTTTTATTTAAGAACAAACATAACAAAGTATCGAGAAGGATAGTTCGCCACTTTCTGCTTGAAAGTAATTCTTAAGCTGAAGAAATTTACGAAAAATTAAAATGTCGTGTGACATATCTGCGATTTAAACAAGCCCTTCAACATTAATTTTAATTAATTATAAGTATACAATCATAGAATTTATGCTTATCTCATGCTGAATTTATAACAAGTCATCGTGCGTTGAAAACCATAATCAAATGTTGCAAGAGACAAACAGCCATGTTCTTATGAGCTTACATCACTATGTTAAGTTTTCTGATAGTAATACTGTAAAACAGAAATTATTATTGAAAGCGAGACAACACCCACGTGTCATACAGCCAAGAAGCCAGAGTCACAAAATGATTTTTTTGTATTTTTTCCCTATCTCATCTACATTTTTGTTCGTGGAAGAATATGTGGTCCACTTTCAAGAAGCCTGAACTGTCTTCATACGTGATTGATGGTATTGAGGATCCTATGAAGATGTAATCAAGCCTTTTGATCTCATGCCAGAAATGGCTGGGACCTTCCCTGTCTCTTAGGTTTTCTTCAAGTTATTTATGTTCGCTTTGGACATCACACTATAACAATTTTTCAAGGACGTTTTCACGGTAGATTGAGTTTAATGCGGTTAAGAATGAATTTGTGACCTTTGTATCAAACTGTAAGTGTGACTGAAAAGTTAGAATAGCCTGGGATTTGGATAGATCGTTTTGTGTGGTGTAATTTTACGAGTTAGAATAGATTATTATTAAACGTATATATTTCATACCGTCGAATAATAAGAAACCACGATAATATACGGTGAACAGGAAGTAAATATAGTTGAAGAGGTTTTGGTCTGTTCGTATTGATAGGAATGGACTTAAAAAAAGTCACAGAATAATTCAGGTTGTGATAGTTTGTATACCAGGAAAGTTTTAAAACACATGCCTGGCTACATGAACTCTCCTGCTCGATTTCTTTGGCTTTGCGTTTCGAAATCTGTATTACATAAAGCACATTTTGATTTTGCTGTGTAAAATGAATGTGAACTTCACGGAAATTGTATAAACAACGTAACACGTATCACTGCTTAGTTTTGTCATTACGTAACGTCATAGTTTGGATGGAATAAGATTTAAGGGGAACGACAGAACTGTGAAGGATATGGATAAGAAATACACTGTCACCCTGTGAAATTAAAAGGAATTTTACAGCAGTAATAATACATTTTGAAATAAACAATAGATATATGTCCCTACAACCATTTTCCTACAGACCTGTCTCTCTGACCGTGGAAATATGCCCTGTAATATAAATTTTGTGTCTACCGCTTAGATTGCTTTCGGGGAGCAGTTCTTTAAAAGGAAGTTTCTTGTGTTTCAGCCCAATGCATTGCACCCTTGGGGATGGAGTCTGGAGTGATACGAGACGAAGATATTACCGCGAGTTCATCCTTCGACAGTGGTAACGTTGGACCCCAATTCGGACGGTAAGTAGCAACTGTTTTTTTATAATATTTTAAATATTGAATGTTAATTGTAGTAATAATATTTTAATATTTAATAAAATATTTTATTGTGATTAGACGGTTAAAATTAAAAAAAACTATTTTTTAATTAATACTTGTATTATAAGTTGAATATTCACTTATTCGAATATAATCTTTATTTCTAATCTGTTACATTACTTCTTGTACAATAGTCTTTTCAGGCACAACATTTACATTATTTTCTTAATACCTGAGTCATTTTCACCGTCTCGTCTGTTCATATGTCTGAGTCCGCGGATTTCATAGGGGCACCTCCCCTACTTGTCGCAGTCCTCGCAGATTTCAGAGCGTACAGTTTACATCTTGTTTGTGATTTGGATTGTGACGATAGTCGTCTCTCACGAGACATGCCGATTTGCGGCAGCGAAAAATCTCGGTTTTCCCCACCACTTCAACCGGAACAATATCTCGCAGAGCTTAAACACCGTCTCCTAATGTATCCCTGTATGGTTATGTACTTGGAGGGACCCCAGGATTCATGCTCGACTGCTCATGGCCGTACCGGTACACCGCAATCGTACACACTGACGACGATTCGGGCGAGCAGTCGTGTGGGTGCCGAGACGTCATCCTGAACTGCCTAATCAGGCCGTAAGAATTCCACGATGCTTACGGGTTTTGTTGTCGATTGACCGTTTCCTTTGTTTGCTCGTTTATTTTACGACGTTACATCAACTGCAAGAATGTAAAGCATCGAATAGCCTTTGTGTGAAATATGACGATGATTTTGGGCGGAAAGCATGAAGGATGCAGTTCATGTGGCTGACCGTGACATAAATGTTAGGATATTATTAAAACAGAACGTAAGTGGCAAGACACTGTTTGGACTCATTTCATGTGGCTCAGGATAGGGATCTGTGACGGGCTTTTGTGGACACGGTAATGAAACTTAGGGTTCTGTAAGGGCGGGGAATTTTTTGACCAGCTAATCTTATCAGGGATTCTGAATTTGGTCGGCATGTGTAGGGTGGTTATTGCTTTTTGTAGGTCGTCCGTTCAGGTCCAAGTTTGACAGACAAGCTTTCCTTCAGCTTACGTAAAATTAACAATATTCTTGAATTTAGATTCAGATATATACGTTATATTAAGACTGTAACCATTTTATTTTGTAATTTATGTTGTACTTTAATACTTACAGGCCTAAACATCGAATGATTTGCTTAAAATTCTGTTCAAAACTGTGCTAATTAATTGTCACAATATAAGGCCCTCTTGTTCAAGGATAATTTTTTTAATCCGATTTAAGGAATTTGTTACTGTCTTTACAAATAGGCATATTTTTATTTTTTATCTCTGAATATGCCAGATAATATTGATTCTATCACTGTTCATTAACTGTGTCTAAAAAAAATAAACTTCTTGAAATGTGGAAGATTGTGCAGTAGTAAAGCTGAATAATTGATGTAAGGGGTGAAAAGAAGGGGAGGTTCAGAGGATGCAAGATGCATGGGGACTGCATGGTCAAACGAGAGAGAAGAAGATCTTTGTTAAGGGGGTGAAGAAAAATCTTGCAAACCCCGGAAGACGTTGCTAAGCCACGGTAGGTGATGTCTGTGCATGACTGACTTTGGGGAGAAGAGTTATTATTCCGGGAGACAGACGAAGGCGAAAGGGAATCTACTTATTGACCATCCCCTTTTAATCCCCACTGCTATTTCAGAATTATCTTTCTTGAAGAAAAGTAAGTATAGTATGTTTGTTATTAACTTAATTTCTCCATATTCGTAATGAAATTTGTGTAGAGAAATTCTCTGCTAGTTGATAATGTATTTGCATAAAAGTTTATTACTTGTATTTATCTGCGTTTCTTATGACGACGCCGACAATAGTAGCTCAGATTAAGTTAAAGTGTGCAGCATTGAATGATGATGAGTAATTAATTGTAAAGGACAGGTAAGGAAGCGACCGTGGAATAATTTGAAGTCCTTTCCCGGCATTTGACTGGTCGATCTAAGGAAAACAACAAAAGACAGCCTGTCCCCGAAGCACGATATGAACCCGTGACTCCCCAAACACGAATCTGGACAGATAGTCACTTGTCGGTGGTGTATGGTATCAAGGTTATCGAATAAAATAAATTATGATTTGTGCATATTTTGAAATAATTTCCCAACATTATCGTGGAGGGACTGAAGAATTTTTTTTAAAAATCTTTTTCTCTAGAATAGCTTGTGGCTGTCTGGTATTCGAATGTGGAATCCCTGAGTGCAAGTGTGACTCTCTGCACTAATAGTTTGAGCGTTTCTACGTGATTGAGAACGTCAGGAGTT